CAGGTGCAGGCAGAGACAATGCCTTAGGAGCAGAAACAGGTTAAGCATTAACTGAGCCAGTCTGTAAGGCTCTGAATTAGCTGTAACCATGGCTCCCCACAATCTCCAAAACACACCTCTCAGACGCAGGACAGGACCAAAGAAGACGGTTTCCAAACTGCCTGAGCCTGTGTCACTCCCTGGGCTAATAATATAGGTATATTCTTAAACGCATCCCACAATCACCTTGTGAAAAGCGTGCTACGTGCGTTTGATTTCATGCCTTTAAAGCAGCATTGGCTATATACATACACTTAAATGGGCCACACTTTTCTATCTCTGCTGTTCTATCAGGGGAGCCAGCTCTCAATGGCCATGCTGGAATTAAGGCACCTGGCGCACAGTCGGCGCTCAATCTGTTAATATTGCAATAGAAAGTATAATGAATCTGAAGTTGGGGCCAGAGTGGCGGGTAAAAGGTGGACCATGTTTCGTCCAAGGGTCCAACCACCTGTTACAGGCGCCTTGCTGACGGAGCCAGGGCGGGCCGGCGGAGGGGCGGGGCCGGGACAGGACGGGGCGGGGACATGATGGGGAGGGGCTGGGGCCCGAGACCGCTCGGAAACTTTCCCTGTTGGACCCGCCCCTCCGGCGCCCTCAAGCATGGCCGCGCTGGGCAGCCGCCTGGCGAGGCGCGCCGTGATTGGCGGAGGCGCACAGTGATTGGCAGGCGCGCCGGCCGCTCAGTGGGCCGAGCCGGCACCGCCTACTCGAGGCCGCGTCGGTGGGCCTCACTCGCCGGCTCGCGCTGCAGCCAGTGCCTCCCGCTTGTCCCGCTTCCCTTCAGCCCCGGCGAGTCCTTCTCCTCCCAAGCAACTTTGCGGCGATCCGGAAGGCCCGAGGACGTCGCGGCGCCTCGTGCAGCCCACTCAGAGGCGGGTGAGTCCTGAGGGACCGGGGATGGCTGTGCGGGCGGCTGCAAAGAGACCTGGGGGCGCCGGGAGGACCCGCCCTCCTCGGCCTCAGTTTCCCCATAGGAGCAGATGGGCAGCTAGTCCCAACGCCACACCTCCGCCCCCCCCACTCCCCCCGTAAGTTCCCCAGAAGTTGGAGGGCCGCGACCCCGCCCGCTCCGCGGCGTCACGGCGACCTGTGCCTGGGTGGGGTCTTCCTCGGGTGGTGAGAGCCCCCTCGGCCCCAGCGCCCCGGGGCACTCGCGTCCCGAGCACAGTGACGCCGGGGAGCCTAGTCGCCAAAACCCCGGGGGTGCAAACAGACCTGAAACGCGGGCGGCCCGTGGCGCGGGGGGCCGGGCGTGTGGCAGGACGCGCCCCCTCCCCGCAGCGACGGTCCCAAGTTGCCCCGTCATGGCCCTTCCCCCGCGGCTGTCGGCGGGACCCAGGGCCGCCCTCAGTGCCCGCTGGCCTGCTGGACGGCGCCTGGGCCCCCAGGTGGTGGCTCGTGGGCGACGGGGGTTCAGTCACCCAGTGGGGACCGGGCCAGCCTGCGTGGCAGCCTCTGGGTCAGACTGAAGAGCTCGCAGCCCGGCTAGAATCTGTGTGGCAGTAACTTTCCTTCTGGGGCCCCTCCTAGGGGGTGGGAGGATGGGGGTGATGGCAGCCCCTTAGACCCTGGCTGGTGTAAACCCGGCCCTCGGGAACGTTTATTTCTGTTTTGGCAGATGGAAACTTTCTGGGGAATCTGACCCCCCCCTTTTGGACGTGATGGCCGCGTCCTCCACCCCATTTTTGGTAGTTGATGTTAAGCTATTCCAAGGAACTCACATGTGTGCAGTATTTAATCCTGTTAGTCGTTTGAGGGTAGGAATTGTCGCCCCATTTCACATGAGGAAGATGAGGCTTGCTGGGGTTTTGGTGACCCGCCCAGGCAAGTGCGGCCCCGCCTCTCCTCACCTTGGACAGTGACCCCTGGCGTTCAGCCCATTTGTAAAGGGCTTTCCCTTCTGCTGGGATCCATCGCTGCCCTGGGTGCTGGCCGCCTGACCTCACGGCAGCCCCGGTGAGGGAGCTGTGCTGGAAGCCCGGAGGCCACGCTTGCCCACGTCCCCTCCTGTGATTCTCATGAGAGACCCTCGGCGTCTGACCAGGGGTTTCGATAGAGGTTCCTTTGTGCTCCCCCCAACCCAGCAGATGGACTTTTGACTGCACTCAGGAGAGGTTGCTGGGAAACCGCATCTCGCCTTCCTTCCCAGGATGGAAGAGTGTGTGGAGGGGCTCCCCCCTCAGGCTCCCTTGCCCCTCGCAGGCCTGCGGGACTGGTCACAGAGGGGCACCCAGCCCAGTCCTGGCGCCCAGGAGTGCCTGTGCTGCAGGACAGAGACCATAAGAAGAATCCCCGTGGAGAAGGAGCTTTATGCTTCGTCCACGTCCTTCTCCTCTCCCCCACGTCCCCACCTCCGAAAGTGGCACCGCCACCATGGCCCTTAGCAAACCCAGCCACCCTCTCTCTCCCCACCCTTCATATTCAGTTGGTGACGCTCTGTCCCTCCTGGCTCCAGAGCTGTGCTCGAATGCCTGCGCTGGCCAGGCCTCCTCTGCTTTTCCTGGATGGCCACCCAGCCCCCTCCGTGGTACCTCTCACGTCCCCACAGAGCCCTGATGGTTCTTTAACTGCCACTTCCCTGTTCGGCACCATCCTGCACTTCCCTCTGGTCCAGAGCCCGGCACTGGTTCAGGCCCTCGGGACCTGCCTCCCACACCCACTCAGCCTCTTTCCTTATTCCTGTGTCCCCTCCCTAGAGATCACTGCTTAGCCTCCTGCACCTTCCCGGCCACATGGCCGGCTCAGTCTCCCGCTGCCGCCTCTCCTCCTGGGCAGCCCCTGCTGGAATGCCCACACGCCTCCCTTCCTCGCGTCACCCTCGCCTGGCTCTCACCTCCTGGTCCTGAAGGCTTAGTCAGGCTTTCTTCCGGAATCCTCACCCTGCCTTTTCCCGCAGCTCTGTGAGGCCTCGCTTCTGTGCTTGCAGCCCCAAGCGACCAGGTTTGGGGTTGTCTGTCCAGGTATTGTTCTTCTCATCCAGACTGAGTTCTCGCAGGCCGGCCGTAGGAGTCCTCTCTGGGCAGGGGGTCCGTGCACAGTGCCTGACACAGGATCGGGCCAGGCACAGAGCAGGTGCCAGGTGTAACGGTGGGCACTTGGCCACTGGGAGACACTGGCTGCCCATGATCACTGCCCAGGGCCCTCCCACCTTGACTCCCCCTTTGTTCCTGTGAACTTGGCACTTGGGTGGGGCCAGAATGTTCCTTAGTTTGGCTGTTAATACTCTGGGGCAAAAATAGTTACCTGGGAGCCCCCAAGGTCCTTGTGCCCTTGTCTTGAGGAGCAGCCCTGAGCTGGGGGCTGGGCCAGGTCCAGCCAGAGCAGACATCCCAGACCTTGGGAACCCCTGGGCCTGCTCCCTTAGGGCTTGGTCACAGATGGGTTTTTAACATTTTTGTTGTAATTCCGAGAATCTTGCGCATTCATTATAGAAAATTAGGGAAATACATTTAGAAAAGGAATAAAATAAAACCACCCGTCCCTCCACTCAGAGATAGTATTACCATTTTGAAGCCATTTTCTTCCATCTTTTTTGGCAGTTAAACTTTGTTTTCATCCTAAATAGACTGGGGCTAATATCTCGTGCTGCTTTAAATCCTGCTTACCAGTGTTACACACACATTTTCCTTGTCTTTGAACATTCACATGCAAGGTCATGGCTAACAGCTGTATAGTGCAGCCCCATATGGAGGGGCTGTAACAGCCATGACTGCCCTTTCTGGACGGCGCTGGGAAGTACAGCTGTGATGGACACCAGGAAGATGGCTTTGCAAGAGCAAAGGTGTGGTCAGCAGTTGCACATGGACGTGGAGGGACAGCGCGTTTTGGGAGTGAGTGGATCAGGGAAGAGGAGGTGTAGTTTTTATGGATTGGAATTCCAGCTCCTACACTGAGCTGTGTGGCCTCAAGCGGGAACCTCTCCTTCCAGGTAGACTAGAGCACACTTGGCTGACTGCAAGTGGAACCCCGGGAAAATCTGTGGGAACTGCTGGAAACAGAGCACGTTCCACATACATGTTTGTCATGATTGTTATGAATGACCTAGGTGCCCTGGCATAAGTCAGCCCTCATTCAGGCAAGCTGCCCTCTGCCATCCCAAGAAGATGGCACTTGATTCTGAGGGCAGTGGGAGCCACTGGCGATGACGAGGTAGGATGGGGCCCCCCTGGTTCAAAGTCCTGCCTTTTTTGCTGCCTCAGGTTAGCCGGTGGCCTGCACATGCCTGGGTTGCGTATGCTGAGTCACCGCTAATTTCCTGACCCATAGCGGCTGTGTGCTCACTTTGGCCTGCATGCAGCTAAATGATGAGTTTTGCAGAAGTTGCCTCTTTTTTTGTTTGGTTCCCGGAAGCCTGGAGTTTGGAAGCAGCACGGAGCATTGCTTTGATCTCCAGGCAGATTCCGTGGCTTGGCCGTGCTTTTGGTTTGCACCCAGGGGGAAACCTTATTTTCAAATAAGGGCTCAGTACCTCTGAGGAAGAAATGTGCAGATTGAAATCTACAGGGTTCTTTGGTGGACACAGATCCGATCTTTGGGACCCACTTGTAGCTGGTGACAAGGTAAACATGGTTGGATACCCCTGGAACTGGCGTATGGCGCCTGGGGCCACCTGCACCCCTTCCTGTGACAGCAGTCATCAGAAACATGTGTCGGGCACCTACTGCTTCCAGCAGGCTGGGTGCGTGGAGCTGGGTGTTTGGAGATGTCTGGGACCCTCGCCCCTCTCATGCACCTCGTGGTCTCTGGACCTCACAGTGTCCCCGAGCATGGGACAATTGTCCCCATTTTCAGTTGAGGAGACTGGGGTGCAGAGAGGGGCATGACCTACTCAGGACCACACAGCTGGTGGGGGCAGAGCCGAGGGCAGGGAGCTCTGCCAGGTCAGGGCTGGGTCGGCCTCTCCCTGCTCTGCACTCAGTGTCCTCATCTCAGTGCGGATGGACATGGCCTTGAGTCTGGAGAGGGTCATGGGAATCTGAGGAATCCGAGGAAGAGTCTCACAGCATCCCCACACTGTGCACACATTGCCCCCACAATTTCAGGGGGTGTATTCCCTGAAGCCCAGCCGGGGCCCCCAGGCTCAGCTTTCAGCCCCAGGGCCTGTGACTGGCTGCCCTGTGTCAGTGGTTTGTGAAACAGCACATGCAGCCCCTTTTGTTGACTAATCGAGCCCTTTCCCCAGTCATGAGACGGCCATAGAACCGTGTGCTCCAGTCCGTTCTAGCATCTGTCCGGAGACAGACCACATGGTGACATCACTGTGTGTTCAGTGTCCCTACCTGGTGACATTCGAGCTCTGAGCTTTTGTCCTGTGGTTCCGGGCTGGTGTGGAGGGCTTTGGAGTTGGGCAGATCTGACTAAACCCTGGCCCCGCCAGCTGTGGTCCTCCCCCTCCACTCCTTCGGGGGAGCTCTCGGGGTGCACCCTCCCTGGCCTCTCTCCAGCGTCCGGTGTCCGGCGGTCCTCGGGTTGCAGCTGCATCACTCCAGTCTCTGCCTCTGGCTTCATCTTCACCTGGTGTTCTCTCTGGGTCTCTGTGTGTCTCCCTTCTCTTCTTGTAAGGACACCAGTCACCTAACCCATGATGATCTCATCTCAAGATCTTTAATTACATCAGCAAAGCCCCCTTTTTCCAAGTCAGGTCACCCTCCAGACTGGGGTAGACACATCATGCAGAGGCCGCCACGCAGCCCAGCACAGCCAGGCAGAGTGCCCAGTGCTCTGCGTGCGTGGAACGCCTTGTTGACGCCTCACTTCAGTCCATTATCCCGGCTGCTCGGATGAGGACACCGAGGCCTCACGGCTCGTGCCTGGTGAGGCAGGGACTTGAGGCCTCAGACGTGACGGCCCGAGCCCCTGATTGCTGGGGCCTGTTGAGCAGATGGCCCTGAATGCGTTTCCTGCTTTGATTTCCTTGTCTGTAACACGGGGATGGTGTTACGGGGCTGTTGTCAGGTTGAATGAGACCATATAGAGAATGTTGGGCAGTCCCCACCCTGTTTCACTTTGCAGTCCCTTCTCCTTACCGAAAACTAGAGGCCGGAGCAGGTTGGGCTCGGCTGGTCCTGATGTGCGTCTGACCTGCAGCTTTTCTCACCGGCAGAATGGACTCCAGCGCCCCTCCTGCGAGCCCACAGCCTCCACCACCACCGCAGCCCCAGGCCCGCTCACGGCTCAACGCCACTGCCTCGCTGGAGCAGGAGAAGAGTGAGGTTCCCCGAGCTCCTGGACCCCAAGTTGGACCTGGACCAAATGTGGGAGACACAGCTGCCCCAGCCGTGCCCCAGGCCCCGCGTGCCAGGAGCCAAGAAAGAGTGGACAGAACGGGTAAGGGGATGGGACCTGGGGGGGGCCAACTGTCCTTCGCCCAGGCCAGGGCTGTTCCTTATAGGCAGGGCGAACGCCCAAGTCCTGCCACGTGGTCCAGGAAGCCCTTCAAGGTTCCTCCTGCGGGGGCTGCCCTGCGGCTCAGGGCCCGCCCACTCCACCCTGCACAGAGGGCCTCGCGCCTAAGGTTCCCTGTTTTATTGTCTAATCAGACGGCTCTAGCTCCCACCTGCTCACCCTCTGGGCTGGTAGGTGGCTCCCAGCAGGTCTGTGAAAGGGCAGCTAGGCCTCCCCTCCCACAGCTCTGGTCCCGCCCGGTGCTCAAGAAGCCCGTGTTGCTCCCTGTCCACCACGCATTCCTCAGGGATCATTTGGTCAGGCAGCTGCCACCCTGGACTGTGCCTGGGCGAGGCCCAGGTCTCTGAACCACTGTCTTTCATCCCCAGGCTGGGCTTCTAAGGGCTGCCCCACTCCCCTGTCCATTCTGGGGCCCCCTCAGGTTTCTGCTCCCCCAGACCTTCCCAGGAGGCACCTCCTGTGGCAGAGGCAAGATGGTGTGAGGGCCCAGGTAGGATGGGGCAGCTGGCCGTGGTGCTGGCCGTCTCGCTGACATTGTGGGGGGCCACTAGGGGTTGGTCCACCCTCCATCTACCTGCTATGCACTGAGCGTGGGCTTTTGTTGGCGCTGAGTGGCCATGGACAGCACAGGTGCGTCAGACCTGTCCCCAAAGAGTCCACAGTCTCCCGGGGAGCAGAGGGAAGCACAGGGCCTGGGGATCGCTGAGGTGGCCCTGGGCCTGGAGCTGGGGCCTGGGAGCCTGCTCTATGGGGAGAGAGGGTGCCTTAGCAAGAGTTAGCCTCAGGGGAGCGGGCGCAGCAGGCAGGGGCTGTAGGGAAGAAAAGGCCTCGCCTGGGGCGGACTTGGGGTTGTGAGAGCCCCAGCCCTCCCAGGTGCCATGGTGGCGACGGGAAGCAGGAGTCAAGGGTGGCAGTGCCGTGTGTCTGACCTGAGACTGAGATACCCCAGGAGGGAGAGAGAGTCCTTCAGCCTGGGGGCTGTTGTGGGTGGAAAGGTTCACGCCTCACTGTGAGTTTCGTGGACACTTGCAGGGGAGGAGCCCGGCCTCTGGCTGTGGTGTTTGGGGAAAGCATAGCTGGTGTCCCTTTCGCTTTCCGATCATTTACCCAGTGCTTTTGAGTACATCCTGTCCATCTTACACTCACAGCAACCAGCCCTGCGAAGCAGGGACCATGAGCTCCGATTACAGAACGAGCCTGCTCCCGGCTCTGCTCGGAGCAGCAGGTCCAAAAGCTCTGTGGGTGGTAGAAGCCCCATTACTTCTCTTCCTGGGTTACTGCCCACTCCCCCTGCACACGGAAACCTTCCACATGCTCCAAACCCGCCTCCACATTTCCCCGCCTCCCTTTGCCATGTGGGACCCTCTGCCCAAAATATGCCGTCGCCGTCACCACCTGTTGAAATCCTACCCGGCTCTTAGGACAATACCGCCTTTTCCACTTCCTGACTTCAACCCACGGCAAGAATACACGCACCATCGTCACCTGGCATACACGCCCACGTGTGCAAACGCACACTCTCACAGTTGGTGAGGATGGAAATTTCCAAAACTACACTTCTCCTTGTTGTGTGTGCTGTAGTCTTTTTTTTTTTTAATTGGTGAATTCGGGGATGGGAACAGCGCTGGGGAATTGGGGGAAGAAACAGACAAGTTGCTGTCGTTTTGTTCTTCAGTCTAGTTGTGGAGGACATTGCTTCACTGGCCCAAGTTGGCACCATCATTGCGCTCTTCCCGGG